CATTTTAACAAGATCTGCAGATGATTAGTAAGCACATTAAAGCTTAAAAAGCATTGCTCTAGGAAGAGGATTCCAAATGTCAAGGGAGCTCAGAATCACCTGGAGGGCTTGATTAAACATAGATTGCTGAACTCCATCCCTAGAGTGTCTGATTCAGTAGGTGTTAGGGTGAGGCTTGAGAGTTTGCATTCCTAGTAAGCTCCTTGATATTTCTGCATCTGGTCCAGTGTCTTTGAGTACTACTGCTGTAAAGTAAATCCAGTTTTTAAAACCATGAAAAGATTAGATCTAATCGCTCTTATTAGGTTGGCCTAGATTCAAAAGATAATCTCTACCCTAGTGTTCAGCTTTGGGTAGAGTGCAGGAAAAAGCAGTTAGCTTAGTTCTTTGCTTTTTTTCCCCTTTTACTCACACATGTCCTCTATTTTTGCAGAGTTTGAAAGATATCAACAATATGATAAGACAGGGTGAACAGAGAACCAAGAAGCGAGCAATAGCCATCGATGGTGATGCAGAATCACCTGCCAAACGCCTCTGTCAAGAAAATGATGATGTTTTGCTTAAACGACTACAGGATGTTGTCACTGAGAGAGCAAATCATTAACGCCCTTCCTGTTTCTACGCTAAAAGCACTTTCAGGTAGCAGAATGTTGGGGCTCTATCCCTCAAAACTTTCAGCCCTGTAGATGGAAAGTATCACTGAATTACAAGAAAAATTGCACCAAAATTATGCGCTTTTTTTATGTCCAAAATTAATTGACAGTATGTTTGAGTTGGATTGGAAAGCAATATTTCAAGTGCCTTTTAAACATTTTAATAGTTAAAGAATTTTTTAAACGTCTGTTTCTTGGGTTAGTTTTAAGATGAAGTAAGGAGATACCTCATAACTTTTTAGCTCACTTTTTAAAAATAAATGTCTCCTTCTATGCTTTGTAATATGAAGGTACATAATCTGTTTTTGGTAAGCACACTTTGAAATATTTCTGTTCTCATTTAATATTGAGCAGGGGGGCACATGGCTGGCTCAGTTGGGAGAACATGTGAGTCTTGATCTCAGGGTTGTGAGTTCAAGCCCCATGTCGGGCATAGAGATTACTCTAAAAAATACATATGTATATTGAATAGGGATTGGTTCCTATAGCACCTGAGCCAAAGGATGATACACCAGCCTGTCTCTGACCCACTATGGCAACTCCACATCCAAGTGCCACTACTATCCTGGGTTGTCTAGCTCCCTTCTCATGGCCTTTCTCTCTTTGAGCATAAGTAGATTCGTACCTGAGCTCCAGCTCCTTGCCTTCCAGACCTAATAAAGGCCCTCTTAGCTGATGTCACAACCTAATAAAAGGGGTACTTGGGTGCAGCTTTCCAAAGAATCAGCTGTTCAATATTCACTTTTTCTAATGTGTTTCCAGAATCTGGAAGGACATGGATAAACCATTCTTAATTAATTTTGAGAAAATGTTATGAAATGTATGTTTTTTAAACTGAAAAACTTATTTTTTTAAATACAAAATGTTTAACTTAACTTATGTCTAACCCTGGCTAATTTGACTTAGTCTAAGATTTGGCTGTAAATTAGTAATTGCTATTGTCAGGAATTTTATTTTTAAATTTTAAGAAAAGTGATTTTGGTCACATTTTACTTTTCTGCAAATTATATCCTCATTTTTTGTGTAGTATCTACACATGTTGTAAACCAAATAATATCAAATGTGTCTTAAGTCCTTGTATATATTTTTATGTAGCTGTAACTATTGTGTCATTTTCATCTTCATTATTAATGTAGAAAACATACATGAGCATTTGTACAGTGACTATATAAGAAGCTTTGGACATGTTTTTATTAGTTTTCAAGACGGTATCAGTGTACATAAAATGGTTAATAAAACATTGGAGTTTTTGAGATACTGAAAAAAACTATGTACTCTTTTCTGTGTGACTAGAAACAATTGTACAGCCATCTAGAACCTAGACCTTTTTAAATACCTGCTTTATATCTTTTAAATACCTTAGTGTAACTTAAAAGTTAATGTTCCTGGTGGTTTTCAGGGGCTAGGAGGAAAATGGGGAGTGACTAACTACTTGAGTATAGGGTTTCTTTTTTTTATTCCTTTTTTTAATATAATTTATTGTAAAATTATCTAGCATATAGTGTATAAAGTGTTCTCTTGGTTTTTGGGGTAGATTTCCACAGTTCATCGCTTACATAACAACACCCAGTGCTCATCCTAACAAGTGCCCTCTGCAATGCCCATCACCCATTTTCCCCTGCCCCCCACCCACCCCCATCAACCCTCAGTTTGTTCTCTGTATTTAAGAGTCTTTTATGGTTTGCCTCCCTCCCTCTTTGTTTGCAATTTTTTTTTTCCCCTTCCCTTTCCCCATGGTCTTCTGTTAAGTTTCTCAAGATCCACATATGAGTGAAAACTCATATCTGTCCTTCTCTGACTGACTTATTTCACTCAGCATAATACCTTCCAGTTCCATCCACGTTGCTGCAAATGGCATGATTTCATTCTTTCTCATTGCCAAGTAGTATTCCATTGTATATATAAACCACATCTTCTTTATCCATTCATCAGTTGATGGACATTTAGGCTCTTTCCATAATTTGGCTATTGTTGAAAGTGCTGATTCATAGGGGCACATGTACCCCAATGTTTGTAGCAGGGTTTCTTTTGAGGGGAGGGAAATCATTTTAGAGCTTAATCTAGATGGTGGTTGTATAACATTGTGAATTTACTAAAATACACTTTAAAATGATTATTTAAAAAAAATAAAAATGTAATTTTTAAGTTAGGTGAATTTTACCTCAGTTCAAAAAATGCCTTAGACACATAAAGAAACAGGATTATTTCAACTCCTTGGAATGAATTTGTGGACCAAATTATGTTACTGAATTAAGGAAAGGGTTTATTTCTCTCTTACTGCCTTCATGCATATTTCTCCAGATGAAACTCACAGCTTAAAGTTCTTTTCTAATTAAGATTTTAATGTTAGATTATATTAATTCAGATTTTTAAAGAAAGTAATAATATTCCTGCTCATTTTTATTTTCTTCTTTTTTTTCTTCTTTTATACTACTTTCACTAGGTCAAAAATGTTACTAGCTGCCTACCATATTCCTGGCCCTTAGCTAGGTACTAGGGATATAAAACTAAACCAGCCTTAGTTTTCATTCTCAAGATATAATAATTGTAACCCATTACTACAGTTGATCTTTGAACAACGTGGGGGTTAGGGACACTGACATCTCCACACACACACCTCATGCCCTGCCATTAAAGATCCGTGTATAATTTTTGACTCCCCCAAAAACTTAATTATTGACCAGAATTCCACCTTACCAATAACAAATGGTTGATTAACACATATTTTGTATGTTTTATATGTTATATATCGTATTCTTACAATAAGAGAAAAAAAATGTTAAGGAAAATACAGTACTGTTCTGTATTGAAAAAAAATCTGCCTGTTAAGTGGACCTGCACAGTTCACACCCACGTTGTTCAAGAATCAGCTGTATAATGTAATAAGTGTAGTAATAGAGCTCTACACAAAGAGGCATGGTATTAGCACAGAAAAGAGAATGAATTACTCTGTCTGGGCAGGTGTGTGAAGGAAATCTAAAATTACTCTAAAGGCGAAGGAGCTAAGTGGTAATTCAGTCCTTAGGGATGAATAACTGCCATTCAGAGAGCACAACCTATAGAAAGGCCCAGAGGCATGACTGTACCACAGGTTTGGGAATTATAGGTAGTTCAGTGAGGTTGGAGTGTAGTATGCACAGGCAAAAACACAACGCAAAATAGGGCTAGGAACGCAGGCAGGGGCCTTTCACAGTTGGGTTTTCTAATCTAGGTTAAGCAGCTCAGGCTTGATCATTCCCAGTGGTTCTTAACATTGGCTGCAACTGGGGAGCTTTGAAAAATTCGCCAGTGGGTGGGTCCCTCCCCTAGAGTTTTTAGTGGGTTTGGGGAACAGCCTAGCATCCAGATTTCTAAAGACTTCCTAGGTAAGCACCTAAGGTTGAGTTGAGAATCACTACTGTAGGCCATGGAGAGTCACTAAAGAGATTTTAATTTTAGGTGGATAATGACAAAATCTGATGTTTATTTTAGAGTAGCAATTCCCAAATTTGCCCAAGGATGAGAATTACCTGAGCCACATGATAACAATACAGATTCTTAGGTCCTGCCCTTTACCATGGAATGATCATCTCCAGAAATTTTGTTGAACTGTTAACCTCTGTTCCAAGTGATAGTCACCCCCAAGTAAGTTAGAGACCTGGTAGTGCTTCTCAAACTTAATGTGCATAGGAATCACCAGGGATTGTTGATCCTGGTAAAACTCAGATCCTGATTCAGTAGATCTGAGGTTGGGCCTAATATTCTGCTTTTCTAGCAAGCCCCCTTAACGCCAATGCTGCTAGTCCAAGGACTATACTTTGAATAGCAAGGTTGAGGAATCTGAAGCTGTGGAGAGGCTGGAGGAGAGGATGGTTAGACTGATATGAGACACAAATTTGTAGTTCTTAATTTTGGAGTAATTTTGTCCCTTTAAGGGACATTTGGCAATGATTGGAGGCATTTTTGCATTTTTGGTTATCGCAATTCAGGGGCGAGCGTGCACCAGTCCCTGAATTAAGTAAACACCTGTCAAGAAGATCTGTACACTTTCGGATGCTGGTAGTGGGGACAGAGAGTCACCTGACTGAGCATGTATGGGGTCACAGTCAGGGATGACTTTCCAGGAAGGATTAATGATGATAGATTCCAGGTGGGGTAACTAATATATATGTGAGGTTATTTGGCATCAATGACAGACCCTTAATATGTTAAGAAAATGTTCAGGAGGTTTCAGATCCTCAGATCCTACATCTAGGCAATAGTCCCATCAAAATTCCCAATGGTAAGAATCACTGTTGAAGATTTATGAACCATACAGATTCAATAGGATGATGCACAGTTTTGTTAAGCATCCCAGGCTGTTCTTACCATGGAAGTCTGAAGCCAGCAGAAGAGTATAATGGCCAAGAGTATGGAGATCCAGGTTCAAATATCCTCCTTGACGCTGCACTGCCAAACCAAACTGAATGTTACTTCAGTTAGGTCATCATCATCATCATCGCTTCGGGAAATAATTATAGAAAATCACATTTATTGTAGAGAAATTGGAAGATACATAAATAAAAGCAAAACAAACTATGGTCCCAGCACTCAGACGTCATCTTTCCAAAGATTTTATTTTTGAGTAATCTGTACACATGACGTGGGGCTTGAACTCATAATTCCGAGATGAAGAGTCTCACACTCCACCAACAGAACCAACCAGGCACTCTTAAAAATTTGTTAAGTTTAAAAAGATGACATCTTTAATAAAATTGGCCAGAGCTTGTTTTCATAAACAAACGACCTCAAGGGCGCCTGGCTGGCTCAGTTAGTGGAGCATGAGACTCTTGATCTCAGGGTTGTGAGTTCCATCCCCACATCGAGTGTAGAGATTACTTAAAATCTTTAGGGGGGCCTGGGTGGTTCAATCGGCTAAGTGTCTGGCTTCGGTTCAGGCCATGATCTTGGGGTTCATGAGTTTGAGCCCCGAATCAGGTATGCTGGAGCCCCAGTTCTGGTGAGCACGAGTCCCTCTTCTCTCTCCCCCCGCCCCCCCCTCAGACCCTAGTCACTTGTGCCCTCATTCTCTCAAAATAAATAAAATAAAATCTTTAAAAAATGTATTACAATTATTTTTCACATGAAGGAAAATGTGTAAGTCTTAAGTTGTATATGCTACACTGAATTTTTTCCAGCTTTGTTGGGGTATAATTTACATAGAGTAAGATGTACCCATTTTCAGTATACAGTTTGATGAATTTTAATAATAGTATATAGTTGTGTAACTACCACCACAATCCATATATAGAATATTTCCAGGGGCACCTGGGTGGTTCAGTTGGTTGAGCGTCTGACTTCGGCTCAGGTCATGATCTCACAGTTCGTGAGTTCAAGCCCCACGTTGGGCTCTGTGCTGACAGCTCAGAGCCTGGAGCCTGCTTCAGATTCTGTGTCTCCCTCTCTCTGCCCCTTCCCCGTTCATGCTCTGTCTCTCTCTGTCTCTCAAAAATGAATAAACATTTAAAAAAAAAATTTCCATCACTTCAAAACGTTCTCTTGTGCCCTCTGATCTTCCCTGCCCTCCCCACATCCTTCCCACCACACACTCTACTCAGTCAACTGTTGACTCTTTTTTGTCATTATAGTTTTGCCTTTTCTAGACTTTAATATAAAATATATGTATGCACAATGTAACCTTTTGTTTGTTATTTGTTGTTTTAATTTTTTTTTAGTGTTTATTTATATTTGAAGGAGAGAGAGACAGAGCATGAGTGGGGAGAGGCAGAGAGAAAGGGAGGAAGACACAGAATCCAAAGCAGGCTCCAGGCTCCAAACTGCCAGCACAGAGTCCAACATGGGGCTTGAATCCATGAGCCACAAGATCATGACCTGAGCTCAAGTCGGACGCCCAACCAACAGAGCCACCCAGGTGCCCCTTTTTAAAAAAATTTTTTTTAATGTTTATTTATTTCAAGAGAGAGAGTACAAAAGCAGGGGAGGGGCAGGGGGAGAGAGAGGGGGAGGGGGGAGAGAGAGGGGGAGGGAGGGAGAGAGAGGTAGAGAAAGGACCCCAAGCAGGCTCTGTGGTAGCCTGAACCATGAGATCATGACCTGAGCCAAAATCAAGAGTTGGATGCTTAACCACTGAGGAACCCAGGCGCCCCAGTATGTAACCTTTTGTATTTGAGTTCTGTCACTTAGTGTAATGTTTCTGAGATTCATTCATGTTGTATGTGTAGATAATTTCTTTCTATTGCTAAATAACTGCCCATACTATGGATTGTTAACAAAAACAGGCACCTGCGTGTCTCAGTCGGTTAAGCGACTGACCAGCTCAGGTCATGATCTTGCCGTTTCCGAGTTCGAGCCCTGTGTCAGGCTCTCTGCTGACAGCTCAGAGCCTGGAGCTGGTTTAGATTCTGTGCCTCCCTCTCTCTCTCTGCCCCTTCCCCACTCATGCTCTTTCTCTCTCAAAAATAAATAAACATTAAAAAAAACAAAACAGAGGCCCAAAATAGTGTTACTTAGACCAAGTTCCCAAATCAATGCTTAATTAATATATAATCTAATTGCAGTTTCAAGTTCCCCTAGAAATGTAGTCTTAACTGGTCAGTCAGGAATTTTTCAATTCCTGCCAATCAGGCAGGCACCTGGGTCCTCTTTTACCCTCAAAGTGAAATGAGGTAGTCTGCATGATAAGACACCTTGCTTTTCCCCCTAAAAAACAGCCTTGCCAGGAACACTTCTTTTCTTCTGCTAATAACTTTCTTGCCCCACCATCCTATAAGAACGTTCTCCATTTTGAGGTGCACGTGGGTGGCTCAGTTGGTTAAGCCTCGGGCTCTTGATTTCCGCTCAGCTCATGATCTCACGGTTGGTAGGTTTGAGCCCCGCATCAGGCTCCGTGCTGAATGTGGAGCTTGCTTGGGATTCTCTCTCTTCCTCTCTCTGCCACTCCCCTGCTTATGCATGCTCGCTTGCTCTCTCTCAAGAATAAATAAATAGATTTTAAAAAGACAAAAAAAACCTTTCCATTCTGTACTACACCATGGAGCACCTCTTTTGCTAGATGGGGTGCTGCCTGATTCATGAATCATTTAATAAATCCAGTTAAATCTTTAAATTTACTTGGTTGATTTTGTTATTTACCAGATTATACATATACCACAATTCATTTATCTATTTGCCAGTTGATGGACATTTGGGTTGTTTCTAGTTTTGTGTTATTAATAATTATGAGTATCTGCATTCAAGTCTTTGTACTTATATTTTTATTTCTTTTATTATTTTATGAATTGGATTGCTGGGTCAAATGGCAAATATATGTTTAACTTCATAAGGTAATGACATGTCCTTTTTCAAAGTAGACCATTTTGAATTCTCACCAGCAGTGTATAAGGGTTCCATTTGTGGGGTGCCTAACTGGCTTAGTCGGTAGAGTGCAACTCTTGATCTTGGCGTTGTGGGTTCAAGCCCCACATACAGTGTAGAGATTACCTAAAAAGAAGGAAAAAATCTTAAAACAAAAAAAAAGAGTTCCACTTGCTCCACATTCTAGCCACCTCGATGTGAATCTTGCTAGACTTTTTTCAATACATATATTATGTATTTTTTTTAGTAAGAAATGGATCATATATCCATTTGTATCACATACTATGGCAGATTTATCATTGTAATGTCTAAATTATGCCCCAAGATGATTCTTTTTCTTTTGTTTTTTAAAAGTTTATTTATTTATTTTGAGAGAGAGAGAGAGATAGCACACGCACACATGAGTGGGGGAGGGGCAGAGAGAGAGGGAGAGAGAGAATTCCAAACAGTCTCCCTGCTGTCAGCACAGAGCCCAATGTGGGGCTCAAACTCACAAACCATGAGATCATGACCTGAGCCGAAATCAAGAGTCTGATTCAACCAACTGAGCCATCCAGACGCTCCAACAATTCTTTCTCCCTCTCTCTCTCTCAAAAAAAAAAAAAAAAAGAGAGAGAGAGAGAGACAGAGTGCCCAAGCCCGGGCACCCAAGAAAGGACAGGCAGAGGAAAGAGAGAGAGAGAGAATCTTAAGCAGGCTCCACACCCAGCATGGAGCCAGATGTGGGGCTCTGTCCCAGGACCCAGAGGTCATGACCTGAGCCGAAACCAAGAATTGGACGTTTAACTGACTCACTCAGGCTCCCCTTCTGTAACAATCCTAATGGTTATGTTCCAATGTATGGATGTATCGTTATTTACGTTATTTTATCATCAAACAAGAAAAGATTAAAAGGGTATTTGGGAGGTTTTTTGTTTGAATGTGTTTCAAATATTAGAACTGAGGGTTGATGGGGGGTGGGAGGGAGGGGAAAGTGGGTGATGGGCATTGAGGAGGGCACCTGTTGGGATGAGCACTGGCTGTTGTATGGAAACCAATTTGACAATACATTTCATATTTTAAAAAATAATAAATAAAAAATAATAAATATAAAAATAAATAAATAAACATTAAAAAAAGTTTTTTTTTTTTTAAGTAAAAAATACATAGCAACAAATCAAGCAAAAAAAAAAGAACTTGGTATAAATTTTGTTTGGTGAGTCTAATGTTTGCAAAGTTAATCAGGCATTATTTGTAACATTATGATACAAGGTTATTAAAATACTAAAGATACTTATCATATAATGGAGTACCACATAGGCTCCCTTCACTTGGGTCTCTGTTCCCATGCCAAAGCACAGCACTTCCTAGACCAACCAGCCTTTCCTGTACTTTTGGTTTCTTTTTTTTTTTTCCCCAGAACTTATGATCTACTCGTATTATCTGAATCTACCACTAGTAATTTAGTAAGTGCATATAGTTGAATATATAAACTTCAAGTGTGTATAAGCTCCATGTAGGTAGTACTTTTTCCCTGTGGTTTCCCCAAAGTGTGGAATGATGCATTAAAGAAAGTATGATATTGACATTTGTTGAATTAATGAAGAAGGAGGCTTAGGGATGCTTTTTATAATAATGATAACTCATATGTATGGAGCATTTTCTATGTGCCAGGCTCAATTCTCGTAAAATCCTATAATAAAACTTTTGTACAAAATTGGAAATTAAAGGCAGTGGCTGGCTGGCTAAGTTGGTAGAGCATGTGACTCTTGATCTCTGGGTTGTGAGTTAAGCCCCATGTTGGAAATAGAGCTTACTTTTAAAAAAAAAAAGGGACATTCCTATTGTTGTGCAATCAATCTTCAGAATTTTTCATCTTGCAAAACCGAAACTATACCCATTAAACAACTTTCCTTTTCTCCTCTCCCTGGTTCCTGGAAACCACCATTCTAATTTCTATTAGTTAGACTACTCCAGATACCACATTACATATAAGTGGAATTGATGTGGAAATGTTGGCATTCGGAGCAAATGGTCAAGAAAGAATTCTTGAGATGTCTTCAGTGCAAAAAGGTGGTTTTATTGGGATGCCTGGGTAGCTCAGTCAGTTGAGCACCCAACTCTTGATTTCAGCTCAGGTCATGATATCAAGGTCATGGGATCAAGCCCCGCGCCAGGCTCCGTGCTGAGTGTAGAGCCTGCTTAAGATTCTCTGTCCCTCCCTCTGCCCCTCTCCCCTGCTCACAATCTCACTTTCTCTTTCTAAAAATAAAAAGGTGGTTTTATTAAAACACGGGTCCAGACTCGTTGACAGAAAGAGCTGCACTGGGGTTGTGATGGGTGACTGATTATATATTTTCAAGTTGGGAGAGGGTTAGGGAAAGCACAAGCCTCCAAGGAATTTGGGAAACAAGGTTTCCAGGACCCTGAGGACGCTAGCTATTGTTAGGAAAAGGTCAATGAAAAATTACTGTGTAGTAAATCCTCAGTCATGAGACCCTTCAGATGTATATCAGTGAGCCATATGCTTGGAGGATGACTGCTAACCTATGTTTGAGGGGTTAGAGATAAAGGAAGTTTCCAAGGAAATTTTTATATGTTTATTATTTTTTAAAGTTTATTTATTTTGAGAGAGACAGTGCGAGTGGGGGAAGGGCAGAGAAAGAGGGAGAGAGAAAGAATCCCAAGTAGGCTCCACACTGTCAGCACAGAGCCCAACGCAGGGCTCGGATTCATGAACCCAGGAGAACATGCATAACCTGAGCTGAAACCTGAGTTGGACGCTTAATCGACTGAGCCGCCCAGACGCCCCAGAATTTTTATATGTTTAAACTAGACTCACAGGATCCTGGAGGGTCAGGATAATGTTGAGATAAGATTGCCTTTTGCCCTTAGCAAAGTGTCAACACTGAGGGAGCTGAGCTCTCAGAGGAGTTCATTCCGCCTGTTTGAAGGACTTGTCAATGGGCTGTAGGTAGTAAGGAAATTTAATTTTTTCTTTTGCCTTTGTTTCCCACATCATAAAGTATTTGTCTTTTTGTGACATGAACATAATGTCCTCAAGGTTCATTCACGTTGTAGCATGTCAGAATTTCCTTCTTTTAAGGTTCAGTAGTATTCCACTACAAGTATATACATTTTCTTTATCCATTCATCTGTCTTTCGATTGCAGCCTAATTTTTAATCTGTATGATATACAATGTCTTTCAGTATTAGTCTTGAGTGACTCAGATTCACGTAAGGATCCCCTGTATTCTGGGAAGTCTGTACTCTTAAGTTTCATTTCTTCCTTTGCTCTGGAAAACTGTTTACATTTGAGAGCACATCCTCACACTCCCAGTTCCCACAGAAGGAACTCTGCCTGTTGAAAGATTCCCAGATAACGAAAGTGTTGGGCAGGGGCGGTTGTGGTAATGACCTCCAATGACAATCTTCTCCCTTCACTCAATTTTCTTCTAAACCCTGTCTCCCAGTTGCCTCCTGCAAACCCCAAATGCTTCACCTTTACTGTGTCTTCCCTAAACTTCCCACTTTGGAAGCCTTAGCACCAGCTTCCACCAACACCCTGAAGATTCAGTGCCCCCTTAGCTACTTTCCCAAGGAAAAGGGTCTTTTCACCAAGGAACACTGCTGTCCTCCTCAGAATCTGGTGCCAGTCCCCCCCCCCCCCCCCACCAATACTCAGAGAGGACTGGGTAAGGGAAAGTTCACTTTCCTGCAGCTGCTTCACTTTTTTTTTTTAATTATTATTATTAAAGTAAGCTGTATGGGGGTGCCTGGGTGGCTCAGTCGCTTAAAGCGTCTGACTTCAGCTCAGGTCATGATCTCACAGTTTGTGGGTTCGAGCCCCGCATCGGGCTCTGTGCTGGCAGCTCAGAGCCTGGAGGCTGCTTCAGATTCTGTCTCCCTTTCTCTCTGCCCCTCCCCAATCATACTCTGTCTCTCAAAAATAAATAAATGTAAAAACAAAACAATTTTTTAATAAAAAATATAATAAAGTAAGCTGTATGCCCATGCCCAAGGTGGGGCTGGAAGTCACCACCCTGAGATGAAGAGTGGAATTCTCCACCGACTGAGCCAGCCAGGCGCCTCTCTGGCAACCACTTCAAATGTATGTGGTACTTCTCTTTCCTAGGGATAGAGGCTTTTCTCAGTCCTGTAAAAAGTGAATAAGAGCATCTTAAACACTATGGTTATTGGTCCACTTTAACTCACAATATAGGTAAGTTCAGTATGCTTGTTATGCATGTGTAACTCCAATCTCACCCAAGTTACAGGCTTTAAGTCCCACCTTTATAGAAATCCTGAAACCCTTATCCTTGTTGATAATAGAGACACCCACCCTCCAGAACAAGTCCCAAGAATACAAATGCCTAGAGAAGAGCCCAACATGGGGCTGGATCTCATGAAATGTGAGATCACAACCTGAGCTGAAATCAAAGAGTTGGACCCTTAACTGAGTGAGCCACCCAGGCACCCCAAGGGTCGAGTTTTTAAGTGAGAAGGATCACAATGTAAACAAGATATTTAACTTGGGGAAGGAATGTAAAAAAAAAAAATGAACAAAGCCTTCCTTAATACTTGAATCATTATGTGTTTTGTTACTAATGACAGCACCCTTAAGAGGAGAGAAATAGACAAATACATGTGACTTTATTTATTTTTTTTTTTATCTTTATTTTTGAGAGAGAGACAGAGCGCTAGTTGGGGAGGAGCAGAGAGAGAGGGAGACACAGAATCTGAAGCAGGCTCCAGGCTCTGAGCTGTCAGCACAGAGCCCGACACAGGGCTCAAACCCACAAACTGTAAGATCATGACCTGAGCCAAAGTCAGATGCTTCACCGACTGAGCCATCCAGGCGCCCCCATGTGACTTTATTTTGCATAATAACCAAGAAGCCTGGGACCCAAAGATTGGCAACCACAAAGTCAAAATGTCCAACCTTAGGCCATCAACTCAGGAGTGGACATAGTACAAACATGTTGGTCATATGTATTAGTCTGCTAGGACTGCCGTAACAAAATACCACAGACAGTGGCTTAAATATAACAGAAGTTTAGTTTCTCACACTTCTAGAGGCTGGAAGTCCAAGATCGAGGTGCCAGCACAATTGGTTTCTGGTAAGACCTCTCTTCCTGGCTTCTAGACAGCCATGTTCTTGCTGTGTCCTCACGTGGTCTTTCTGTTGTGTGTGCACAGGGAAGGAGATGTTACCAGAGGGAAACTTGTCCATGTACCTGATGCACAGTAAGCCAGTGTCTGAGACACCAGTTTTGAAACAAAGCTTTACTATCAGAAGGGCAGCCCAAAAAGAAGGCAGGGGTTGTTCCCAAAGAAAGCTACCTTAGCTTTGTTGAGCTTTGTTGCTTTGTTGAGCCTAGGAACAGTTCATATATGGGGAAGTAAAGGTAAACACGTGAAAGGATTGACGCACGGAAACTGAAGGGATTCTATTTTATTTTATTATTTTTTTTTTTAGGTTTAGGAATGCCTGGGTGGCTCAGGTCACAAAACTTAGATTTGTGAATTCATGCCCCACTTCCAGCTCTGTTCAAAGAACAAAGAAGCTATGTTCCCACTCGAAGGGAAGACAAGAAAGTTAATCATTCTCTAAGTTCATCCTAGGCCCTCAAACACCTGGATCAGGTAACATCCAAAAAGAACTGGATCCCAAACATGTTCCAGGACATTAGCTTCCAGCGAACAAACCTCCATCAACACTGTCATCAGTAATCCCCACCTTTGGTGATTTATAGGGTAACACCTATTGTTCACCTGACACTTACCTTTGATCTGACCCTACCTTGCCTTCCTGAAGGAACACGTACCCTGGACCCCTTTCCAATATAAACCCCTAACCCCAAGCAACAGGGAGACTCACTTTTCCAAGTCTTTCAGACACTGTCTGCTATACTCCATCACTTACACTATTCAATAAACTTATCTCCTTTCCTCCTGGCTTGGGTATAGAGATTACTTAAAAAATAAAAATTTTTCAAAATAAAATTAAGTTAAAAAAAAAAGAATTTTGGCTTGGCTTTGGGATTTGGGGAAAATACTAAAAAAAAAAAAAAAAGAAAAAAAGAAAGAAAGAAAGAAAGAAGTCTTGAGAAGGCTAGGTTCCACAAAGGGTGGAGAGGAAGTAAAACAGTGATGACAGCTGGCATTGAGAACCAGCAGCACTGGTTGAAGAGGAAGCTGCGGAGAGATAAAAACCGCAAGGTTAATGCTGACAGAAATAAAATTGCCCAGCTCAGCTGGGTAGGTGGAAGGTAGCTAGGGAAGGGCTGAGAAAAATTGCTGGAGATATTCAAGGTCATTAAGCAATGGGCTTGAAATTAATTTGAAATTACCTTTTTTTTCTAGTCCTAACTATGGTGAGTGAGAAATCAGAGGTGAGTCTGAGCAGTCATCTCCTTTAATATGACCAGAGCACAGGGCCTATGTCAAGTAGGTAACTGTTCCCAAGTTGTGGAAAGATAGAAGGAACAAGATCACCAGAACTGTAAATAGAGTTAACTCTATTCGGCAAACCAAAAAGCACCAAAGTTTGGGAGTCAGCTTAAAATCTCAATTCTGTCACTTACCAGCCATGTGACCTTGAGCAAGTAACCAACTATCTTGCACAAGATCTAGGGCCCCTAGAAAGTAGAGGAAATACTAAATATGGAATTAAATTACACTCTTTAACAAACACAGACAAATAGAAAATTAAAGTTCTCAAAAGCAGTTGCTTTGAACAAACCCAGTTGGTTAAACTTAAAACCCTGCTTATATCACCTTCTACTGCCAAAGAAACCTTGCTGTCAGGGCAGATTTTCCCATAAGTCTAAAAAATACAAGTTTTTAAGCCAGCCATTTCCGACTTGAAATATAAGGCTTTCATTCATGTGCTATTTGTTGTCTCTTTCACCCCTTTGTTTTGGTTTCACAAGTCTTGGCAACTCTCTCATCTCATCTCAAATTATTCTGGGGCTTAAGGGCATGTTTTGCTGAGCCTGGCTCTTTTAGGCAGACAGAGGGCAAGTACCCCTCTCTATACTTTTCACCATGGCTCTGTGGGACAAAGGAGCAATTGAAAATTTTGAGTTACCTGATATAATTCTATGTCAAAATTCCCATTAACAAGCAGGTTAGCAAGTGACTTTGGAGCCAAGCTAGATTGCCTGGGTTTGAATCCAGGCTTTATCACTTACTAGCTGTGTGACCACAGGCAAATTATTTACTTATTTCTCTGTATCTTAGTTTCTTACACCCTGAGGTGGTTGCGATACATAAATGAATTAATATTTGTAAAACCCTTAGGAAAATGCCTGGCACCACAGTAAAGCTCGAAGTGTATGCTAGTAATATTTTGCTCTCTACCAGACCACTAGTTCATAATGCTTGATGATAATCTGCCTCATACACTCTTTATCCCCTAGATGGGTCTATGGCTGGGTGGATGGAGAGGTGTAATGGCTTCAGTGGTGGTAGCAGTAGTCTTTTTACTAGTTAATTGCATGAACTAGGATTTACAGGGAAGTTTGGTCCTCCCCCCGAGTGACTAAACTGATGGGGGCATGCCTCCCATTTTTACAGGCTGTTACGACCAGGTGGTAAAAGTCCTTGAAGATAAGTTTTAAGTAATGTTGAAAAAGAAACAGGTCCAAAATGAAATCACCCGTGTGAGGCCCCACATCAGCAAACCAAGACTTAGTGTCTAACCCAATTGCAGTTTCAGCCTTTCCCTGAACTGTGACCTTTAACAGGTCAGTCTGGTATTTCTTGGCTAGCACTAGTGAGTTAGTGGCCTGGTAGACCCCTGCCTTCCCCCCACAGCTGGGTGACTCTGCCTAAAACAATCCTTTCTTTTGTCATGACTTCCTTGTCTTACACCCTTTCTGTCTTTAAAAATCTTCCATTTTGTACAGTTCCTTTCTCCTTAATAGATAGGATGTTATCCTATTCATGAATCATTGACTAAAGCCAATTAGATCTTCAAATCTACTCAGGTGAATTTTGTTTAACAGTAATCGCGATGACCACTTCCTCTTCTCTGGGCAGGGAGTTGGGCTGGAGAGAGGGGTTGAGGATTCTTTTAGAGAGAAATTTGAAGTCTGCTTCTGTTTGGAAACCTGAAGATAAGAGTTCATGGCTAGGCACCCCCAGGGCCCTCTAACTGCCCAGCGATACCGTAGAGCTTGTGAAATGCAAGAAGACTACCTTCATATCAGATCTGAAATCATTCTAGGGTCTTCCAGTTCAGCTTCTTGCCCATTGGTCTCTCAATTGGGAAGACGCCGGCCGCCTGATGATGGCCTTTTAGGTTTAAGTTTGGGGCATATGAAACACGGCCAAGGGTATGCCTGGGATATTCATTTGGAAGAAGACACCCGCAATTCACCAGAGGAGCCCGCGCTCCGGGCTTTGGCGGGGCTTCCATGGGTCCTAGATACACTCTTTCCTCACCTCGCCCGTATTAGCACTTCCTCGGCTCTGCGTCTAGTCGGCCCCTTTCGATAAACTTCCCGACCTGTTGAGGACCAGTGGGCTGTCATTGCGCCTGCGCAAAGGGGGCCCGGTGGCTGAAGTGGCTGGGCTGCCCGGCCACAAGTTCTGAGTACCAGTGCGCCTGCGCGGGAGGCCAGTAGGCTGGCAGTGCCGAGCGGACTCGTCCCCACCGACCGGCAGTCAGTGCGCTTGCGTGCGGTCCCAGCGCCGCGGTTCTTGACTGTGCTGTGCAGGGCGCTGGTTGTTGCCATGCAGGGAGCGGACTCTGACCAGCCCTTCAAACGGCCCCGACGCGATGGCAGCCCGAGAACCCCGCCAAACATCCCTTCCGCGGCGGCGGAGAGCTCCCCGGGCCCCAAACTCCACCGCGACTACCAGACCTGGGGCCCGGAGCAGGTGTGCTGCTTCCTAAAGCGCAGTGGCTTCAGTGATCCCGGACTGCTGGAACGCTTCCGAGGTAGCAGGGCTGCAGGGCTGCGGGGCCGGGGGACCGCGACCCGAGGCGGGGACCGCGGGCCTGAGGGGAGGGCACGCCGAGGCAGTGAGCTGGGGGCCTCAGAGAGGACCCGAAGCGGAGAAGGGAGACCTGCGCGGGGAGATACGAAAGGGGTGGACCTGAGGCGGGGGGTGTGGGGCGCCGAGCCGCAGATGAGCTGAGGCGGAGAGCCCCTCTGAGCGGGGGGCCTGCGGCGGGGAAGGTGCAAGAAGGGGTAGACCCGAGGCGGGGGTGCCGAGGTGTTGGGGGCGGGGGGGGGAGTGGGGGGACGACCTGAGGCGGAGAGTCCTCCAGAACCGGGGGCCTGAGACGGGGACGAGAGGTGCCAGAAGGGGCGCCCAGGAGTGCCCCCCGGAGATGGAGGGAGGAGAAATGGGGCGTCTGGGGCTGGGGACCCGCAGGGGGGGAAGCCGACTTTGAGGATTGTGAACTTGGGTGAGGCACCTGGTGTGAGGCTGGTTGGTTTCTTCGGGAACTGGTCACCCCAGCGCGGGGCAGGCGAGACTCCGGTCCCTGTTGTGACTTAGAAGAACGTTTTCCCCAGACCGTAGTCGGAGGGGCGCTGTCATTCATACTCACGGGGCTCGGGAGACCCCCTCTGTGCTCCTGCAGCTCCTTGAGCACTTGGAGTGTGTTTTGCTTTCAAGTTTAAGTTTCCTCCCTTGGCCCCTCAACTCGGGGTTTTCCTAAGGGGGAGGGCACATGCTCTGTGAATCCCTGCATCCCCATTGCCTTACCGTAGCATGCCAGCAGGGCTCAGTGCATGTTGGTTGACCACCCTGGTGGAGCTTGGTAATGATTCTGTTTTGGTCTCCAAAATCAGTTTGCCTAGTTAAATCTGAATGACACTGGGAGTGCTGAGCTGACCACCGGACTCCCAGCAGCCCACAACTTGGCCACATCACATGGGGCAAATGTGTGGGTTGTGAGTTTTAAGCAACTGGCTCCAGTTAAGCATCCATCCAGTTGAGATCTAAACTTGCCCTAATGGATGGGAAGCTTAACCTCTCTCTGTCTTACCCATTTGTAAGTTTAATAAATTTTTGTAGTTATAGGGTGGAGTCCTGTTTGTCTAGGGTCGGAGGGACTTAGTGTTTGAAGACTTAAAAAACAGCTTGATGGTGTGGGAAATGGTACTTTTTTCTCCTCCCCCCCTTTGGTTGGCCTGCACTCAGAAGTTTTCTCTGAATAGCAACTAGGTGGGGATGAAGTAGTTTTATATTTTCTGTCTCCAAAATATGATGGACTATGTTGTTGGCTTTCTCTTTCAGTGGTGTTCTATAGATTTTGTTTTTGTTTTTGTTTTTGGTGTTCTGTAGATTAAGTCATCAACCTTCAGAATGATCTCTTGAACCTACAGTCAAATGCTAGCAGAACTCACTACTTGCTTTACTTGGTAAAAACTGACCTTACATTCACAATTGCTCATTTCTTTTTTCTTTCTTTTTTCTTTTTAAATTTTTTTTTAAAACATTTATTTATTTTTGAGACAGAGAGAGACAGAGCATGAACGGGGGAGGGTCAGAGAGAGAGGGAGACACAGAATCTGAAACAGGCTCCAGGCTCTGAGCTGTCAGCACAGAGCCCGACGCGGGGCTCGAACTCACAAGACCGCGAGATCATGACCTGAGCTGAAGTCGGCCGCTTAACCGACTGAGCCACCCAGGTGCCCCTCTTTTTTCTTTTTTTTTAAGATTTTTTTATTTTTAAGTAATCTGTACACCGAGGATGGGGCTCAAACTTACAACCCTGAGATCCAGAGTCCAATGCTCTGCTGACTGAGCCAGCCAGGTGCCGCAACAAATGCTCATTTCTTAACCATCTGCTTTGTCTTGACCAAAACTTTAGTCAGCCTTCTCTCTCTCCTAGAAGGCCCTGAAATCTTGCTTGTCCCCAAACCTGAACAAGCACTAAAAAAGTGGAATGCCCCATCATCAGCCTCTCCGGTAACCAGCTGAGCATAGCAGGATACTGTCCTGTCAGACCCCACTGGGATCACTTCCTTTACCCTATGAAAAAAAACAGCAACACTTTTTTCTGTTTCATTTTGAACCACTTGGAGATTTCTGAGGTCACAACATTCTCCCTATTGTAATAGTCTTCCTTTCTAATCCCTGTCTTAGTCTGGGTTTGCTTTTATTTGGCAAAACAAGGTATTGGGTCCCTCTCCTCATTATGGAATACAGTCTCACAGGAACCCTGAAATTAATTAATTAATTAATTAATTTATTTTTAATATTTTTTTTGAGAGAGAGAGAGAGAGATACAGAGCACGGGTGGGGTGGGGCGGAGAGAGAAGGAGACACAGAATCTGAAGCAGGCTCCAGGCTCTGAGCTGTCAGCACAGAGCCTGACATGGGGCTCCAACTCACAGACCTCGAGATCATGACCTGAGCCAAAGTCAGATGCTCAACTGACTGAGCCACCCAGGCCCCCTGAAGCCCTGAAATTTAGAGGCTGTGATCCCTGTTTTGTTTACAGATGATGTGTTTGAGGTCTAAAGATGTTAAGTAACTTTCTAAAGGTCATACAACTGGAAAAAAAGCAGAACTGAATGTTAAGATTTTGTCTTTGGGCTCCAGAATTCATGCCAGCTATACCTTAACAAGTGTTCTCATCAAAGATCATCAAGGGTGGGGTTGAGCCCTGAGTCAGGCTGTTAGTGTGGAGCGTACTTGGGATTCTCCCTCTCTCTCTCTCTCTCTCTCTCTCTCTCTCTCTCTCTCTCTCTCTCTGACCCTCCCCTACTCATGAGTGCTCTTCCTCTCTCAAAATAAATAAACTTAAAAAAAAAAAAAGATTTTTGTTTGTTTGAACATAGTCCACAATTGTGGAATCTGAGGTCAGGAAGGAGTAAAATTAATTATATAGTGAGAGAAAGAAAAATAAACGTATATATATTTCAAAACACAGTATTATGTGCTTTTCTTGGAGGTTTTTTTTTTTTTTTTAAGTCTTTTATTGTTTAAGTAATTTGTACACCCAGTGTGGGGCTCAAACTCACATCTCCAAGATCCGGGAGTCAAGCTCCTCCTTGGAGGTTTTAGAACTCAATCAACACTTGGCACCCTTCAGGCTATGGTTTTGACCTGACTATTCTAAGAACAATAGATTTAAGTTTCCTTTCCTCCCCCCATGCCAAACTTCACCTATTTTAGAAGGAAGCCACTGGTTTTGCTGCTGGACTTCCTCACAAATAAGTCATTCAAATAATTTAAAAGTTTTTACTTGATTTATCAAAAATAGCCTGTCAGTGTAGTTACCTAATTAAAATGAAGACTGTCCAATTGAGAGGGGTGCCTGGCTGGCTCAGTCTGTAGGATATGTGACTTTTGGTCTGGGGGTTGTGGGTTTGAGCCCCATGTGGAGAAAAAGACTTTCCAAGTGGCAAATGAAAGTGGTTTTTACACAGTCCATTACCTGTAGTGGGTGGTTTAGTAAATGTTGATTTGGGTAAATCTGGTGAATCCAAATTAAAAGAAACAAAAAAGCATATGGTATAATTGTTGAAACCATTTATCTTTTTTTCTCCCTTTTCTTCTAAAGGAAATAAAATCACAGGTTCAATACTGCTCCATCTTAATGAGTCTGATCTTGAAAGTCTTGGAATAAGGTAAGAATGATAAAATTCAACTTGTAGCCAAGCATACTTCTGACCTTTTTATTCACCTCTGAGGGACAAAGCCCATGACACTGATCTATCTTAACTGTCCTCATTTTAGATCTACAAAGTGTTGGGGTGCCTGAGTGGCTTAGTCGGTTAAGTGTCTGACTGTCGGTTTCGGCTCAGCTCCTGACCTTATGGCTTTATGGGTTCAAGCCCCGCACCGGGCTCTGTGCTGGCAGTGCAGAGCCTACTTGGGATTCTCTTTCTCTCCCTCTCTCTCTGCTCCTCCCCCACTTGTGTTGTCTCTGTCTCTCGAAAAATAAATAAATTAACTTTAAAATAAATAAACCTACAAAGTGTTTTAAAACTGAATCCCAACATAATTGTGTCTGTTTTTGCTGTGCAAATCCTGTGTTTAATATTACTAATGATTCCTACTTTAAAAAATTTTGCTGACAAGCCTTCATGAAGTTTGCAGTGACCAACTTTTTACTCTCAAGTTCAGAATAAGTGGATTATACACACCATAAAATACGTAAGGACTAATAGGGGGGCAATGTTGGCAAGAAAAATCAAGGCTACAACCTTACCTTGACCATATTTTTAGGTCTTCCTAAAGCTGTCTTAAGACTGGAATGTATACTTGGTATTAGATTTAAAGACACGATCCAAAGTAGTTTGTTCCTTTTTTGGTTGTGTGATTTGAGACAAGTAATTTAACCTTTCAGTTTCTGCACCTGTGAAATGGAAAATAATAATGAGACAGTGTATATAAAGTGATTAACACATTGGCCCTTAATAATAAATTATATATATGGGGCGCCTGGGTGGCGCAGTCGGTTAAGCATCCGACTTCAGCCAGGTCACGATCTCGCGGTCCGTGAGTTCGAGCCCCGCGTCAGGCTCTGGGCTGATGGCTCAGAGCCTGGAGCCTGTTTCCGATTCTGTGTCTCCCTCTCTCTCTGCCCCTCCCCCGTTCATGCTCTGTCTCTCTCTGTCCCAAAAATAAATAAAACGTTGAAAAAAAAATTTTTTTAATAAAAAAAAAATAATAAATTATATATATAGAGAGAGAGAGAGAGAGAGAGATCCCTATGTAAGGCTGGAGGTTGTAGGGGCTAGATTAGTGTGGATCCACTTTAAAGATCACAGTTGAGAAACAAATATTTAAATAGTACTTAAAATGGAGATTTTTTTTTTTTTTTGAGAATTGGCAACAGTGGTAAAATAAGGTGTTTTTTCTTCTGGAGTCCCACTTGGCTAAGTGTTGTTTGTGGTAACAGTAACCAAAGAATCAAAACAATTACTTCATACACTTACTTCATACACTGTTGTTTAGTAGTTGATAATAGAAGCAGATTGTGAGAAAAGATCACCTTAGGACATTTACTTGAATTTTAATAAATGTCCTTTGGATCAGAATCATCAGGAGTCTCTTTCATAATCACGTTTCAGTCCCCTCAACATCCCCCTTACTACTTATTTCTTAGGTATATTGAGTTGCTTACTATTTTAAATTTTTTTTAATGTTTTTTTTATTTATTTTTGAGACAGAGAGAGACAGAGCATGAACGGGGGAGGGTCAGAGAGAGAGGGAGACACAGAATCTGAAGCAGGCTCCAGGCTCTGAGCTGTCAGCACAGAGCCCAACGCGGGGCTCAAACTCACGGACCGTGAGATCATGACCTGAGCCAAAGTCGGACGCTCAACTGACTGAGCCACCCAGGCACCCCTAGTTGCTTACTATTTTAATTGAATTGCATTTATTCTAATAGTCTTGCTTTTAAAGAGAACCATATATTTTGTGGACCCAAATACTACCAATTTATTCAACAAATATTTATGGAGGGCCCACTACATGTTAGGAATTCTTCTAGGAACTTTGGAGACATGAGTGAACAAAACAGAATTTCAAATGAACATTACCTGGTTGTGCCCACCATGTAACTCTGAGGTATATTCTGCAGGACTTTTCAGGGCTGTGTGTTCCTATACAGCAGCTGCTAGTTACATGTTTAAATTAATTAAAATTAAAGTTTCAGTTCCTTACCTAGCCATATTTCAAGTGCTCAATAGCTATTTATGGCTAGTGGCTACCATGTTGGACAGGGAAGACACAGAACATTTCTATCTTAGCAAAATTCTGCTGGCTAGAGCTGCCTTTGAAGATCCCAGTGAGATTAGGCAAAGTTGTTCACAGTGGTAGTAGTTCAGCCAATTTATTAATATAACCTAGTACTGTTTTTCCATCCTTTCCTGTTTTACCTTTCCTAGGATTCACATCTTAAAAATAAATTACCTGTACATAAGGTCTTGTCTTAGATTCTGCTTTCTAAGAGGGAGTCCAGTTTAGAAAAGTACTGAAATTTTCTCAAGTTTATGATCAACTGTTGATTGAAAAGATGTTTTCTTTTTGGTTTGTTTTAATTTTTGACAGAGAGAGACACAGAATGAGAGCAGGGGAGGGCTGAGAGAGAGGGAGACACAGAATCTGAAGCAGGCTCCAGGCTCCGAGCTGTCATCACAGAGTACAATACAGGGCCTGAACTCATGAACTGCGAGATCATGACTTGAGCAGAAGTCAGCACTCAACCAACTGAGCCATCCAGGAGCCCCAGTTTAAAAGGTTTTTCTAGGGGCGCCTGGGTGGCGCAGTCGGTTAAGCGTCCGACTTCAGCCAGGTCACGATCTCGCGGTCCGTGAGTTCGAGCCCCGCATCGGGCTCTGGGCTGATGGCTCAGAGCCTGGAGCCTGTTTCCGATTCTCTGTCTCCCTCTCTCTCTGACCCTCCCCCGTTCATGCTCTGTCTCTCCCTGTCCCAAAAATAAATAAACGTTGAAAAAAAAAAATTTAAAAGGTTTTTCTAGGGTGGCTTAGTTGGTTAAGCATCTGACTTTGACCCAGGTCATGAGCTGTCAATGTGGAGCCCACTTCAGATCCTCTGTCCCCCTCCCTCTTCTCCCCTGCTCGTGCTCGCTCTCTCTCTCTCTCTCTCTCTCTCTCTCAAAAATAAATACACATTAAAAAAAATAAAAGGTTTTTCTAAGAAATAAGAAACATTGGTACATTAACTGTATATGTCAGTTGTAAGACATTTTAGATTCAGGAAATGATGAAATATACATATGAAATCTTATAGTCTAACTATGGCCCATGGATACTTGAAATAGTGTTGTTGTTTAAAAAAAATTTTTTTTTAAATGTTTGTTTATTTTCTAGAGAGAAAGAGAGCACGAGCAGGGAGGGGCATAGAGAGAGGGAGACACAGAATCCAAAGCAGGCTTCAGGCTCTGAGCTGTCAGCCCAGAGCCTGATGCGGGACTCAAACCCACAAACTGTGAGATCATGACCTGAGCTGAAGTCAGATGCTTAACCAACTGAACCACCCAGTCCCCCGTGTTGTTGTTGTTGTTGTTGTTTTAATGTTTATTTTTGAGAGAGAGAGAGAGAGAGAGAGAGAGAGAGAGTGTGTGTGTGTGTGTGTGTGTGTGTGTGTGTGTGTGAGTGAGCGAGCGAGCAGGCGAGGGGTAGAGAGAGGGAAACAGAGGACCTGAAGCAGGCTCCACGCTGACAGTGAGAGCCCAACGTGGGGCTTGAACTCAGGAATCAGGACTTCATGACCTCAGCCAAAGTTGATGATTTAACCGACTGAGCCACCCAGGCGCCCTGGCCCATTGAATACTTTAAATTTTTCTTTAAGATA